ATGCAAGAGTTGGGTTTGTTCTGTATTGTTTCCTCTAGTGGTGGCAGCATGAAGAGCCAGCAGAGGACTAAAAAACTGCCCTGGTCTAAATGTGGACTGTAATGTGAAAAATACCAAATTGAGAGATGAATTTAATTTTTTTTCTTTAGGTGGGCATCTAAAGTATTTACTTTTATGTATATATGTTTTGCATAAACTCAATTTTGGTGCAAATAAGGGCTTAACAGGAGCAGGCAAAATAGTGCCCGTGGGTTGGATCTGGGCCACAGCTGGCCCTGTAGCACTCCCCATAGGGCTGAGCCCCACCCAGTCCCACTGAGACAGCTCATGCTGTACTCCCACCCGTGCCTGCTGGCCCAGGCCCCAACCAGCATGCGCTGCTTCCTCCAGGGCTATGCCTGGTGCTGCTCCGCTCCCCTTGCCTCTAGCTGGAGCTGTCTGGCTGAAGCTCCCCCCACAACCCCCACCCACAGTGGCTTAGCAGAGGTAGGGGCAGGAGGAGGAGCCACTGCTGGAGACGAGGGGAGCAGAGGAGCACCCAGCCAGCTGCAGCAGGAACAGCTCCGCCAGAAGCTGTGTGCTGGCTGGGGCCCAAGCCAGCAGGGGCTGTTTTGCTCTTTGTCTTCAGTGGCAGCTCCTGCTCCTGTTCCTGCTGTGCCACTCCAGGCAGGAGGGTGGGAAGCTTCAGCCCTGTGACTCCTGCCTCAGCACACAGGGCTCCAGCTCCCAGCTGCCTTGCACCCACTATGCAAGCCCAGTACAATGAGCAGCCCCCAGTGTGTGGGTGGAAGGCAGCCAGGAGATGGAGCCCTACACACTCAAGGCAGAAGCTGCCGGGCTGAAGCATCCCCCCAGCCTTTTCAGAGCGACACAGCAGGAGCAAAAGAAGGAGCCGTTGCTGGAGGCGAGGGGAGCAGAACAGCCCCACTGACCCGGGCCCTGATCTCTGGAGGCAAAGGGAGCAGAGGTAGTACTTAGCTGGCTGCAGCTGCACTAAGAACAGCCCTGCCAGAAGCTGCTTGCTGGCTGGGCCAGTGGGAGCATGGCTCAAGCTGCCCCAGGCGGGGCTCAGCTCTGCGTGGACTGCACCACCCGGGCGAGCTCTGCTGCACTTACCTTCTGCCTTATCCTTACTCTGACCCCCAACTGGCTCCCAGGACCTGGCACTCAGGCAGCTCCCCTCTCCCTCCACAGGGCAGAGTGTGCAGGGAGTGGATCACAGCCCAAGCCTGGGTCCCAAGCTGTCGCCACCCTGTGACCCAGCCCCATGATCCCATCCTCACCTGTCCATCCCACACCTCAACGCTGTTCCCTACCTGCCTAAAGCGAGTTGTTGCACAGGGGAGAGAGTGTGCTGACCTGGCCCACAACAGCTCATTAAAACTTCTTATGTGGCTCTCAGGCCCAAATAATTGCCCACCCCTGGTTTAATATTTAAAACTCATTCCGTGCAATGTAGGCAACTTTAGGATTAAAGTGAGGAACGCTACATGAATTCCTTTTATCTTGGCGCGTGGTGGTCTTTGCTTTACAACCTTTGATACTTTCAGTGGATTCTGATGAGGTCGTTTATCTGTAAGAGACAAATGGCTATTACATGAGTTCCTGAAAATGCAGAATTTGGGGATCTGTTGCTAGAGGAAATGAATTCCTTGATGCTCTGAATGGGATGCCTGTGACATACTCCAAAAGAGTAAAGCCATGCTACTGTACTACATTATGAAATAGTTCTAAGTTTTTGTCTTCATTAACATGTGCGCTTAATTTTTATATTTCTTTGTTTTTATGTTATCAACATATAAATTGTCTTTGGGACTTTAAAGATGATTAAAAGGTGAGAGGGATAATCTTGCCTACCTTTTTAACATGTTTTTTTAAGAACATAATGTTATTGCAGGTACCATCAACTCTCTTACTTTGCCTTGGAGAGTTGCTAGATAAAATAGATATGGAAGAAACTTTCAAAATTACAGTTTGAGGCAGCTTAGGACTTTTATTGCACTACTTCAGGTTTGTCCAAAATGTGATTCTAAGATACATGCTCAGTCAACAGAAACATCTGTAGGAACATGTAGAATACAACATTTTTTGTTGATGTGTGAATTGTTGAAAAGCCATTACATCTAATTCCTCGAGGATGTATTTGCTTTAAAACAAATAAAAATAAATAAAAAAGGACACAAAAGCTTAAGCTGAGTTTTGTACTTTAAATAAGTTAGTTATGTTAAAACATTGCATAAATCAAGTTTTTTAGCTGTAGTAATAAAACTTGGTTATCACATGGTTGCTAGTACCTGAAGTTTTTAATGCTATGTTAAGCAGATTCTTAGCACTGGGAAGATAACTATCACACTGGAATATATGGTTTAGTAGTTGTCTGCTTTTAGTTTGCCTTCATTTTCAAATCAAATAATATAAATTTCCTTTTAAGGTTCAGCTCAGAAGAAACTGTTAGCTCCTGATATGTTCACAGAATCAGATGATATGTTTGCTGCATACTTTGATGTAGGTATTTTTTTTTAATCAGAAATAATTTATCCATTCTGTTCACTTTTTGGTAGTAGAGAGGGTTGCTGTTCAGCAGTTTATGCCTAAAGCTTGTCCCAGCTAAATTCTGTATGATTTCTTTTGAAGCTTTAATTAACTCATTGACCTTAGATTCTGAAATTCTTACTAAAGGTTTACTCAAACAAAACTTTCATTTAAGTCAGTGGGACATTTCCCTAAATCGTGAGCGTCAAACATGCAGCCTGTGAGATCTTCTGGCCTGCAGACATTACTCCACTCGTCGTTAGGATGGGGGAGGATCATGGCAGCCAAGTGTCCAGGTGACTGCTGTGGTGCTGGAGCCCCAGTAGCACCTCAGGAACAAGCCTGGCACCAGGGCACGTTCCTTCGGCAGCAGCTATGGGCCTGTGATACTAGGATTTTTTTCTGCGGTGCTTGTGGGGTTCCAGCACCAAAGCTCCCGCACAGGCACTTGTCTGCTGCTGTGGGATCAAGCCATAGTGTTTCTGGGACTCCAGTGCCCACTTGGCTGCCAAGCACCTAAGCAAAAGCTGCTGGAACCCAAGCAGTAGTTCAGGAAGACGTCCATACCACGGCTGGTTCTCATGGCAGTAGCCAAGCGCCTGCAGTCCTGGGCTTTTTCCTACTGCATCCCCAGCCACAGTGGGTGTTGCATGTGCTGGATCCAGCGTGCAGGGGTTGACTGGCCTGATCCGGCTCACCGACCAGTCCCACGCCACTTGTTCAGCCTGTGGGGCCAGGTGAATTTGACATCTGTGCCCTAAATAAATATTTGAGGATTTTTGCCATTGTTAGTATAGGATCTACGGTAGCTTTTGTGCTTGGCAGAGGAAGTATGAAGTGTGGGGGGAAGAAGAATAATCATCTGTCAGAATTTGTTTGAAAGGACTGTGTTTATCAGGGTGCCCTCCCTATTTCCCAAATGTTATCATGGTGACAGTATCATGCCTCATGGAAGCAGTAGCAGAATTTTTAGTAACAGACACTTTACAGTAAGAAAGCCCTCTAACTTTCCAATGGCCTTGTTCTCCTTGTAGGTTCTTTATCATTTCTTCATTTAAAAATAAATAAACATGACATATTGTGATGGCATTTGGCAATGTACCTCTCAATTTATCGTGCTGTCATGGTTGAAGAAAATAGGAAGTGCCTGTCCCTCAGTATAGCATTTAGCAGTTGGTCCTTGCAGTACTGTCATTTGTTCAATATACTTGTGGTGTTTTTTGCTAAATACTTGCTGTACACTGCATATTTTTGCAGTTTAATAGGCTAGTTAAGATTTGTTTGCATTGTTTGCTTTCGTATCTACAACAGCACAAGGAAAATTTTTATTTTGCAAAGGATAAAATTAATGGGAAGAATTCTATTTGCAAGCTTTCACAAGCATAATAAACAAATAGAGAAAGGCTTGACTTTTTTAAAGCAACTGGTAACTGGATGATAGTTTATGGAAAGGAAATAGTTATTTGATTGAAGGTGGCTTTCTTTTTTGCATTTAATTTGATGTACTTATGTGGTACATGGCTCTAGCTGTCTTACTAGCTCACAGTAATGATAGCAGTATCTGTTCTGAATGACTTATATTCTCATCTGTCATGCCTTGGTGTAATTATTCTGGGAGCTGGCAAGTAAATGAACAAAGAAGTTTGTATGTATTGCAGCACAGAATATCCTTTTTAAAAAATAGTTCTGACAATGCAACGTTTTTATTATTTTTCTGTAACTTCCTAATAATTGTTTTACAACACTTTTATGACACGACTGCAGTATTAAAATTTTTTTCAAAGATGCAGACATCTCAAGCCTGTATATTTATTAGACTCACTTGTGTTGGCAATGAAAGCTAAGCACATACAGAAGTTCTGTTAATATTTTTTCTCGTCATAATTCTCAAGCATGAATATTTAAAAGATACTTTGTCAAATATATTGATCTTTTAGAATAGATGGAATGTTTGTATTATGGACGGAAAGATATGTCAGAAAGGGGACAATACACAACTGCAGCTCTTCAGTTAATAAGTAATAATAAGAGTTTATATTCTTTTCCTTGCATTCTGTATTTTAATATAGTTTGTGCTTGCTTCATTTCAGAGTGCCCGTCTTAGAGCTGCTGGCTTTGGAAAAGATTTTAAAGAAAACCCCAACCTCAGGGATAACTGGACTGATGCAGAAGGCTATTATCGTAAGTATTTATCACTAATAACATTATTATTGAAATGGGAATGCTCAGTGAAAAGCACCAGATTCAGAAGGTTTGCAAAAATTATTTTGAAATGACATACAACATGCCATCATTTAAAGGGCACAGTGCATGTGTATAGCTGCTCACAGGTATGTCACTTAATCTACCACTCAAAGCGCAGTGAAGTTATTTGCAACCATGATATTTCCTTCCAGAAGGAAATGGTATCTCATCATACTTGCTATGATCTCTAACTAAGAAAAACTGCATGCAAAGAACATGCATGCCAGTTATGCTGCAGTTATCACCTGGGACTTGGAATGGAAGCATCTTAGTGAGCATGCTTCTTCACTAATGAATGTTCAAATTATCAGCATTAATGATCACATTTATCATTTCTTGGAATGATTAATGGTTATAAAACTTCTATTATTTATAAAAGGACCCCTGATCAAACAAGAGCATAGCTCCAGTTATTTCTGTAGAATACCGTAGACTTGACACAGTAGTTAAGTGACCCCACAACATGTTCTTGTATCTTCTGAGTTACTTGTATGAAAGACTTCTTTTTGTTGATTATTCTAATTGTTGTGTATTCTTAGCCCAGGATTTCTCTTTATAACCATTTTTGTTTTCTCCATCAGGTGTTAACATAGGTGAAGTTCTAGATAAACGTTACAATGTCTATGGTTATACTGGCCAGGGAGTCTTCAGTAATGTAGTGCGAGCCAGAGATATGGCAAGAGCAAATCAAGAAGTGGCAGTTAAAATCATCAGGAACAATGAACTTATGTAAGTTGCATTTAGTTAGATTGAGATGTATAGCCAACTAATAATCTCATTGTGACAGTTGTGTCTAATAATAACTTTTCAGTTATAGATTTTGATTTTTTGGGAGAAGATTCAAACCAAGTCCTGAAAGACTATCTCTTCTATCCCTAATTAGTACCATTCATTGTGCAAAAACAACTGCATATAAGTAGCAGAAAAAGTAGACCTTGCCTACAGTAAATTATTTGCAGCTCTTGAAAGCTGGTGTCCCTTTGAGTAGTGTAAAATTGTGCTAACTTGTTATCTAGTTTATGGATTAGCATGTCAGTTCAGATTTCAGTATTTGTAGCAATAGTATGATTTTAATACTAATTACTTTTGTTATTTGCTTTGTTTTCCCTGTGAAGAGAAATTAATATTGTAAATCTTCCATATGCGTTTTGACTTGAGCCTTAATTTTAAACTCTCATTTTATTTCATTATTTAAAGTGTGTTAGTTTGCTAAATCAGAATTCATGAAAATGTCTAATATTAAATAATGTATTGAAAAGTTGTCTTTTTCCATACATCATGTATAAATACAGATGTTGAAGTTAGTGTAGGTGAGCTCAGCATGCAGTTAGTTTCAGCTAAATATTTACTCACCCATATACTATCATTAATTGTTGTTTAAATAGTATTTGGTCATTTAGAGAAGGAACTCTTCTCTCCATTTACATGCTAGGGGGGTGGGCAGATTAGAATTGTGTGGGTGTTTTGAAGCATAAAGAATTTTTTTGATTTTTCTAGTGCATAGTTGCTGAGAATAATATCAAGATCTTTTAAATTCCAGAATTATGTTAACCAGAAGAACCCCAGTTTGATAGTTATCCAGTGAATGCTTATGCTGAAATATGTTGTATAGAATTTACTTGGTACCATACTTATGTTTTTGTTTTATAGGCAAAAAACTGGTCTAAAAGAACTGGAATTTTTGAAGAAGCTCAATGATGCAGATCCTGATGACAAGTTTCATTGTCTGCGACTGTTCAGGCATTTCTATCACAAACAGCACCTCTGTCTGGTATTTGAACCACTCAGGTAAAACAACTAAATGTACAGAAATAATTATAAAAATAAAAGTAGAGTTAAGTACTCTTTAATTTTTTTGTACTACTAATTTGAATTCTCCTTTTTAAATTTGAAAGCTTTCCCATTCTGGCTTTACTATGATGGTGAACTTATTTCAGGCCTTTCATTCAGAAACATCTGTAGGGACAAAAAGGGTCTGAAGCATTCTCATTTTCTTTGACATGACAGCGCTAACTTGGTATTTGGTCTCTCTCTCTCTTCCTTCCTTTTTTAAGGTTACAGGAAGTTTATGGTTTTATTTATCCTGAATTCTTCTGCCAATTAGTGATTTTTACTTATGTTCATAGTTCTTTTGGCAGCTGGGCAGGTTCCAGAAGTTTGGAATGCTTTTGCAGCAGTAGCTTGGCACATCTAGGGCTATTGCCTGGGAGTTTACCTAATAGGACACATTCAGGGAAGAACATTGGGGATAATAATTTGACCTTTCCTTTTTTTTTTTCTCTTTCTTATAAAGTGGTGTCGATGTGCAGTGACAGGCAGGATTTTCTGTGTGTTTTATGACAATAGATTTGAGAATGTATACCGAGTAGGGTTTTTGTCCCTTTCTGTCAGTATAATGAATCTTACGCATTGTGTGTGTAACATCATTTATTTAACTTTTCCTTGCACTCTTGGGGTAGAAGGAAGATGCTTGCTTAAGCTGTATGAGGCTTATGGTGATAAGCTAAAAACCCTGAGCTCAGATTTTTTTTTTCTTTTCTCTAATAAATAGATTGTTGGCTAGTTCTCCATAAAACTGTTCAGGAATGTCTTTCTTTTTTCTCTGATTCCATGCTCTGTTAATCTTCTCAAAGTTCCTCTATGCTGATACTTCTCCAAATATTACCCAGTCTGTTTGCTTATACCTAAAATAAGCATGGCCTCCTCAACTTAATTTTCTTCACCTCTTTTAATTTGTCATCACAGTAGTTTCCTTTTGCCATGTTTTGCTTCTTAAAGCAGTTTGCACAAAGACAGTGCAATTGTTGAGAAATGGCTGTGGTTCTTGTGCAAAAAAGATAAACAGTATTAACCTTAGCAAAAGGAATTTTTCAGGATAATCGTGGTCATGTCTGTAATTTACAGCTTCCCTTTGCTCTGATTTGGTCAAGAGCTTTCTCTTTCAATGTAGTGCCTCATGACAAGGAGTAAATTTCAAGTTGGTCTGCTATGAGTGGTGCTCTTTTTTTCCTAACTGTCCAAGAGAACTTGTTTTTTGTGTATTGTACTTGATGTTTATAATGCTAGTACGTTGTTCCCTGTTTAATTATCTGTCTTCATCCTCTTTTCTTTTTTTTGTGTATAAAAAAGTATGAATTTACGAGAGGTACTGAAAAAGTATGGGAAGGATGTTGGTCTCCACATTAAAGCTGTACGCTCCTACAGCCAACAGTTGTTCCTGGCATTAAAGCTGCTTAAAAGATGTAACATCCTACATGCTGATATTAAGCCAGACAATATTTTGGTAAGTAACATTTAATTAAAACACTAGAGATAATTTACAGCCAGTATGCAGTGTGCTTCTAAATTCAGAGAATATTAGTTTCAAATTCTAAGTTGTGTCTGTACACTGAAAATCTTTGAATAATATGGAACAGAAATAAAAATTTTAAACATAAAAGAAATCTAAGTTTGTCTTTTAAAGCACGTCATGCTTTCTTTCATTTGTTTCTCTTTAAAGAAGCAAACTGCAATGTAAGAAGGCATCCTTCTCTAGAAGAAAGATTTTTAATTTTTAGGTATGTCTGAAATTAGTCTGTTTTTGTGGAGGTTGTTGGCCTTGGTTTCCAGTGTAACTCAGGTTTGCAAATTGTCCCTTGCTTACTTTTGCTTGCATGATGGAAAAGAAAAAGACTGCTTAGTAGCGGAGGAGAATTCAAATACTATAACAGTGTTTGTTCTGGTCCCCTTGATGCATTTGTTTGCTCATATGGCAGCTTTATAGTCTCTCAGTTACTATTAAACACAAATTTCTTGCCTTCATCATTGTAAAAATAACCTTCTAAATATGAAACAAGTGTAAATAGTCTTCCTTAGGGTGCATAAATTTTAGAGTAATATTCAAAAGCTGTGAAATTTCCTTCTATTCTTTATTAATCTGATTGAGTTGGCAAGTCAAACTGGTGGTATTTTTAACTATTCAAAGGCTGATTGGTGTAGTAGTTAAGAGGGTATGAATGTTAATGTTGCTTAACAGAGGAACATGTGGAAAGGAGGAAAGGAGCTGACAGAATTAAAAAGAAAGTGACAAAGAATGGAAATAAGTATCCTTAAAAAGGTTATTTTTCATTGATGCTGGAGATGATCGTAAGATACCCAACAAATAATAAATGAGAACAATTAAAATCTTAGTTAATAAATAAAGGCTATGTCCTACCCTTGACCACTGCATAAATCAGTGGGGTATGAGGACATTATTTATGTTCCTGAACCTGGCCTTTCACAAGAGTCAGATTCATACACAGCATAACTCTGAGGGCCACCAGTGCTGATTTTTGGTCCACTTGTGTAAAAAAAAAAAAAAAAAAATCCTGCTAGAACAGTTATTTTTAACAAGGTACCAATTACAGGTAACTTGTATTTAAAAACAAAAAAAAACCCAGCCGCCCTCCCTTCCCCCAAAAAGTTTATCTGTTTAATTTAACTGATTTATAGAGAGGAATCCTTTTCTAATCTGCATATATTATTGATGTGTTGTCTCACTGCAGCTGAAGTATTAGTTAAGTAATTTTTAGGGTTTGTTTTTTTTTAATAACCAATTTTTTATTCAGATATACTGGATTAGAATTCCCTGCAATAAATCTCCATTGTTAATGATATTTAAGATGAGAACTCTGATTAATTTGAACTCACGGATGATTTCTGTCTATTCTTATAAAAGTGATATCTAAGAGAGTTTGAATGTTTAAAAGCATGACTTACAACAATGTCATAAAGAGACTAGTGATAATGAAGAGGATTAAATGCTTTCTCAACTCTAGGTCTTCTTACGAGTATTTACGAGCTATTTAAAGATCCTAGATTGACATTGTAGTTTACAGTTTAAGGTCTAGTGAGGACATTCCTGTCTCCTAAATATTTAGAACTTGATTTTAATTAGTCATCATTTAGCTCTAACAGCAGAATGAAGGTAGACCTTGTTAAATTTTCTTGAATTTATCTAACCTATTTATTTATTTATTCTAAAAGATTTCCATGTAACAGCATAAGGATCCGCTGTGGATAACATACCTCAGACACTGAATTTATACTAAATAAATAAATAGCCTGTTACAATAAGTAGCCTGCATACGGTTGTCATTTTTCCATCTACACTTGAAATCTTTAGTCATCTGTGCAAAAGAAAAAATCTTTACCTGAGAAATCTCCAAATCATCAGCGAGTCATCAGAGTTTAGAGTTTGGTAGTCACTGAAAAAAAGTGTTATTTAAAAAAGTGGAATGTATTTTCTTTTATAAGTAATCAGGAAAAAATAAAACCCCAGAATTAGAGCTCTCCTACCGTCACTGTTATCCAAGCCATCTGGTCATCTTTGGTAAAAGAATTTTCTCTGGCATCTGAACTATTGCACCCGTACAGGACTGTGCTCTAATTCCAGAAGTAAAATTCTTACTTGTATGTCTTCTAGTGTGACATCTTCATTTTATCTAGGGTCCTGTCCAGTTTTTGCACACATTTATTTACATCCTCAAAAATTCTGATGCATTTCCTCACTTCTCTTGTCTTCATATTAGTCATGTTTTCAGTTATGGGTCAGTTTAGAAGTCATGGCTTTCCAGATTGTAGAACTTAGTTTTAAGTCATCCATTCAATCTAGATTTATTTTTGCAGAAAATCAGCAATAAATTTATCTATTGAGGTTCTTTGAGGCCTTCCACAGTCAGACCTGTGTTTAAAGTACATTCCTTTAAGCTTGTTCAATTCTGAGTGCTCAATACTTTTTTACTAATGATTCTACATAATATAATATTGCCTACTTCATTAAATTATCTGTCTTGTATATGTCAAAGTATGAATTTTATATCTCTGAAGCTGTAGAATATTTTATTTCTCCTAGGCCAACCATCAATTTACATATTAGGTGTTTTAAGGCTTATTGATGATGTGGTAAACAAACTGAAGAAGGCTATATGTTTTCAGCTTTTTTAATCATTACCAGAAAGATGACTTTATCAGTTAATATTTACTAGTCCGGATGGACAAAACTTGTTCTTATTCACACAGAATGTCAGTCAGTGAATACCATTATCAAAATCTTCTTTTTAAAAAGCAAGAACATTTAAGTTAGCTAACTGGTTTGTCAGCAGAGCTAAGTGTTGCCTTTCAGGTTATCAGTGTGTGAGTATGGTCATTAGTTGCTCTTTCATTGTGATAGTTGGAACTTGGCTGCATTTGCACAGGTGATTCACTTGGTCTTTGTTGCATAAGCACATTTTGGATTGCTCTTCATGCTGGCGGTGTTGCCCACTGCTGAGCAAATTGCTAACTTGTTTAATTCTCTGGAGAAGAAATACACAAGAACTAAGGAATCCCTGGGATGCTTTTGACCAATTTTTATTGGGTCAGACAGCAATTCTGATGCCAGAATGCAGTGACTGGGCTTCTGCTAACATTTAGCATAATACATATTGATTTTTTTGTTTGGGTAAGAAGTATTTCTAGTTTAAGAATTTGCATATATTTCTTTTGAAGAGGGAAGGAATGATGGATTGTAAATTATCCTCACGTCTTTAATCCTGCCCATGTTTTGAGGTTGTGATTAGCAGCAGCTTTGGAAGCAGATTTTAGCCTTCCTCAGCAGATGTCACTGTTACTGTGTGTTAAAGGTATTTTAATTTATTTATTTACTAAAGAAAAGAAAGCTACACATGTTCTTTGACATGTCCCTATGTTTTTAACTTTTTGTCACATTTCATTATTTTTGCTGGGTTAATAGCTGATTAGAATAGGAGGAAAAAATTCAGAATCGTTATCAGCCAATTTTCCATGTACAGACAGCCAACTGTTAAATCAATCAAATAGATGTAGTAAAAACTTTTATTAATAAACTAAATATTTTAAACTAAATCCACTGTTTCAGTAGTTCATCCACTCTTAATACATTCATTGTCATTTCCAGTTTTAAGGCTTTATACTTTACTTAGACTACAACAAATCAAAAAAATAATATGGGCAGAAATATCAGTGTTTAAATATCACATATTTTGATTCTGTCAAACATACTGTATATTCTTACAGTATCAATAAAGTTTCTTTACCTTGCAGGTAAATGAGTCTAAAACCATATTAAAGCTATGTGATTTTGGATCAGCTTCACATGTTGCAGATAATGACATCACGCCATATCTTGTCAGTAGATTTTATCGAGCTCCTGAAATCAGTAAGTTATCTAATATATTCATTTTTACATGAACAGTATCTAAATAGTGGTGCATAATTATATCCATTTGTAGTAATGATGCTGGAACTTAAATTAAAAACTAAAACCAGAATGTAAACATTTATTTTAGTGCAGCAGTACTACACACAATCATTGATGATTGTGAGTTTGGTTTCTGACAGAGCTTTTGAGATATTATAGAGGCACTGTGTGCAGAGGTGCTGGGTATCTGGTCTATGGGCTAGATCTGGACATGGCTTCCATTAGCGAAGGAGTTTAACCATCACTGTGGCTAGCCCCTAGGAGTGAATGCTGCCACTGAATTTAGTATTTTTTTCTCACCACTGGCAACTAAAATTGGTGATTGAGTGGTGGCAGCTGGTATCCATATAATGGCTCTGGCAGCCCCCAGCAGGAGGCCCCATGGGCCAGATCAAGAGGTAGGTCATTCAGCCGATGAGAAGCCCTACAGGCCAGATTATAGCTCTCTAAGTTGAGATTTTGACACCTCTGGGTTAGTGGAACCATGTACACCTCTTCAAAGTGCTTATGTTCAGTCTAATGAAGGGAAGGAGGACCTTTGATTGTTATAGCTTTCACTGTTGTTTTATCACATTTTTCCATTGTGGTGAAAAGGACAGATTATAGGTGAAGGCCACTGTCGGTGGAAATGTTTTAAAAGTTTTAAAAAGTACAAATAAAAAAAAAAAAAGCTTGAATGCTTCCTTTTGGTGCTTCTCCATTCCTAGGAATGTAAGCTTTATAAGGTAACTCCCAAATCAGGGTTTTCTGTCTTTTTGGTGTTGTGGTTTTGGATCTTTGTGCCTGCCTGTGTGGAATTAACTAACCTATTCTGTTTTTAGTTATAGGTAAAATCTATGATTATGGAATAGATATGTGGTCTGTAGGCTGTACACTGTATGAACTTTATACAGGAAAAATTCTATTTCCTGGCAAAACCAATAACCATATGTTAAAACTTGCCATGGACCTCAAAGGAAAGATGCCAAACAAGGTAAGTGGTATAAATAATTAAGATCTCATATGGAACCATGCAGTAGTAATGAACATAATAAATTGTCTTTATTTTACTAAATTTTGTCTTATGTCTTTATTCCATGCATCTTCTCTTAACAGCAAGTGTATGTTAGACAGTCTTCTAACTGTAGAATTATGTTGATTCTAAATGTTATGAAGTGAAAGTGCACCACTGCTTTTTCATAAACTAAGCATTAAGAGAAGCCACTTCTAAAAACTGACCTGAGAAAATAAAATACGTAAGTCAAAGGATGATGCTGTATGTTTTATCAAGCCGTTTTGTCAGGGTTTTTTATTATTGTAGTCATTTTTTGCTGTTCTCTGAAAAACCTAGAAGTATTAAATGAGTTGTGTGTATTGTCAGCCAGTAGGTAGTTGAGCGTGTCTGTTTTAACATGTTATAAGAAAGTCTGAAGTTCGTAAGATACGCATTTTATAAAACTCCTGCCTTTCACTTTTCAGATGATTCGAAAAGGTGTGTTCAAAGATCAGCACTTTGATCAAAATCTCAACTTCATGTATATAGAAGTAGATAAAGTAACAGAAAGGGTAAGTTGTTTTTTTTTTTAAATTGCAAGCTGAGCTTCCACTTTTTTAAACTTTTTCAATACTATTCTAATATCAGAACGTTAGACCAAGATGTATATTGTAAAGGCTATTTAAAATATTACATTCTCTATAATAGAATTCAGAGTATGTTGTTATAGGGGAATTCTCTTGATAAGTCACCTGGGATCACTCTGAATTTTAGCTTTATGGTAACTAACTTGCAATTACTGCATAAATATTGAATGGTGCTAGCTACCTTCTTTTAAAATTGGAGAAGATGCGCCTTATGCATAAAATGCTTGTAGAATGCTCATTTAATGTTCGGGACTATTGTGTGTTTTGTTGTAACACTGGAATGCATACCAGTAATGCTGGAATGCCTTCTTGGTTGGAATTCTCTGCGTGTGGTTTTTTGGTCTACTAAAACGCAGACAATCAGCATACCTTTTTATATAGCTACCCAAAGAAAAATGAATGCTAGAAAATTCCTAAAATGACGGGTTGGCATAAATTCCAGTCATTAATGTTTCAGTTGTCCTCATGCCCTTAGCTAATTTTCCAGTTTAAATAGTTAGAATATTCTACACTAGAATGTGCAGTAGCAGTAACTTTGGCTTTAAAACGAGGAGGGATAACACAGAGCAGTAATAGCATTAAAGAACAGGATGTTTGCTCATTGTGGTTTTCTGTTAACAGTATAACAGTTAGCTTTAGTAATGATGGAAGTAAATCTTGGTTGCACTTTTCCATTTATAGGAGAAGGTTACTGTCATGAGCACCATTAATCCAACCAAGGACCTCTTAGCAGATTTGATTGGGTGCCAACGACTCCCGGAAGACCAGCGTAAAAAAGTACACCAGCTAAAGGACTTATTGGACCAGATTCTAATGTTAGACCCAGCTAAACGGATTAGCATCAACCAGGCTCTGCAGCACGCCTTCATCCAGGAAAAAATTTAAACCAGATGAAGAAGTTCAAAGGGTTTGAGTAATTAAGATACAAAGACTGAAGAAATTTCCCAGCAGTTTATTAATGTATATAAACATAAATATTTCCCCTGCAAAGTTGAGGAAGAATGATACATTTGAATTAACACCAAGGCTGATATTTCTTTTAGAAATGTTAGAGTAATTCTGTTTGTGTCTTATGTGAAAATTTTCACTGTAGAATTGTTTTAATTGCCAAGACTGCACAAAAGTACAATGCTAATGTATATGGTTGCAGTTCATATATTATAAAAAGAAAAAAAGCCTCTGTTATAAAAGAACAGTAATACTGGGTGGTTGATTTGTTTTTTTAGCAGACTTGGCTTCATTTTTGTCTTTAAAAAATGGCCAGCATAAATGCTGTTTATATTCACATTTTCCTAGGTGTGTGTGTGCAGGCCACAGCAGCATGCCCTTGGTGTAGTCAGTGCCGAAGGGGGTCTGTTCCTTCTTGAGCCTGCCTGCAGGGATGGTCTCCTCTTTTAAAGCAGGTTGTGTACAACTTTCAGTACACTGAAGGTAAGCTAAACCATCAACATCATCAGTGTTTAAAATGTTATTTTACTGGAACGACTGACAAATGAGGGACGATAGCTTTGTGGCAGAATTTCCCTGCATGTTTGATAAATTAATTTGTTTTATTTTCTGGCATTGCAACTGTGGCATAGTTACAACTTTGTTCTTTTCATCACATATTTAAAACTTTTGAGAGTGCGCACTTGATGGATAGAGCGCCTTCAGTGTACTGTTTCTTATTACTTTAATTTTTTTAATCAACTTGCTAGAGACTTTGTATACATTTTGTTAAATACAGTTCGCTATGACATAGAACCAATACTTACTGAAGAGTTTTCATTTACTAATTACATATGTTGGGATTTGATTCTGAAAGACCTTATATCTAAAGCATAGTTAGACAACATAATGAAAATTTTTAACTATTTGTATGTCATTTTGAAAGTGTACTGCTTTATGCTAAAAGTGTTTCATTTGTTCATTGTTTTCATTATTTGTGATCATGTTGTCTTTCAATACAGGCATAAACCTTCCACTCTTGAACAAAGCAGCTGCTTTTTAAAAGCGGTAATTGCTTCTTTACCTTTTATTTCTTTTGTAAATGAAGCTTTTCTTTAAGAAATGTGACTTTCAAGTGTTGTCTCTTGCATAAAACAGTTGACACTTACTTATTGTAAAGTGAAGATTGTTCTCCTGCATGTAAAGTGGACCATGCAGATTTCTGTATGTTTTCAGTATGCATCATTAGATAATAAAGTCTTTTGTGAACAAGGCATTTGTAGCCATTTTTAAAAGATTTTTTTCTTCAGTGCTGGTAAATCAGGTAATCTGTAAGAAATCCTTCATATTTCCATAAATCCTTTAATTGAAGGGATTATTAAAAGTTATGAACTTTGAAAGAGATATTAAACTACATTAATTAGATCTATGATTATCTACATTAAAAAACCTACAGATACTGTCTATCTGCTTTCATTGTTATGAAATTATTCCTGTAGGATGTGGGATTGATTCAGGCTTTAACTAATGTTTGTGCTGTTTCTCTCACTTTTCCTTTTGATGGTGCTGAAAGAGAAAAAGGGAAGCGAGGCACAGGCCACTCAACGCCTACTCCATGAGTCTGGTTTGCTGAGACACCAACTTCACCTTCCTAACAAGGTTATTTCTGACAGCATGTGTAGATAAACATTTAGCAACAAAAGTTAAAATAGTTTGAAACACTTGAGTTAGTTATGCAACATGAGAGAAACAGGATCAAGCTTTTCCAATCCATACTTCTGCCTTAATAAAACAAATGAGAATGTTAACAATTCATTTTTTATTTCTGTTTATCAAAATATACCTAAAGTGTGAAAAAACACTGGGTTCAATTATTTTGTAAAACCGTCCTAAAATTGTAAATAGAATCTTTTATCCATATAGGCATATAATTGCAGCAAACATGCATGCTTAGTGCAATCAAGGATGGAAAAGGAAACGAAGCAGTCATTCTGCTGGTGGGGTGTTCCCCACCAAGGAGTTTATTAAACTACAAAAGCAGGTGATGGTTGGTTGTTTTTGTTTGTTTTTTTACATGCCTATTTTGAACCTTCCAATTTTTTATTTCCATTTTTCATAAAGTAAATCTATTCCTGTTTCAACATACTAAGTTTCTTGATCGTGCAGGAGAGAGAATGCAACCTTCTCCTTTACTGAAATGGACAGATAGATACTTTATAGTTAAATCCACACAAAGTAATTTGCATTGCTTTGGTGACAACTTTGGCAAATACAGCACTTCTGGTGGCAATTTTACATAGATGAAGTAAAACCCAGTATGCTTTTTTAAAAAAAAATCCCTATTTAAGAATAATGGAATAAGTTGGTGTTGTCAAATCCAATAGAAACAATACATCTTATGCCTACAGAATTGTTTTAAATTATTCTGAAGAAGCATAAAGTTGCTCGTTTACTTGTTCTTTGTGTTGTAGGTGCAGCTCAAAAGAAGATGATGACTGCCAGAAGACATGAACAAAGGTTTCTGACCTATAAAAGATATAAAAAAAAGATATTCTTTATGTAGTTTTCTGTCTAATCTTTCTGTTTTCAGCATCTGAGTCAAGGTTTCATTACCACTATTGCAGTGTTGGTAATTCTTAGAATAGTCCTATTGTGCTCATGTTTATATGTAAGATAATGTTTTTTGTTGCATTTTTGGTTGATGTGATTTTGTTGTGATGAAATGTAGGAGGATATGCAGGTTAAGTTGAATTTCTTTCTTTTAAAAAGAAAATGACTACTACCAAATTTGGTTAAAATAAATTTTTAGGATTCTTAATACACATAAAAAGCTACAAACATATAAAGTGAGAGTGCCTGTCCCTATTTATTTTAGTACATGCATTATTTATGCTACTGCTGTTAACTTTATCATTGCTACAGAGTGGCTGTGAGAGGTTGTTTAAAGACAAGGGAATCCCAGTTCTTGACCCTGCTGCAACTTTATGTTGCTGTACCTCTGCTGTGAACAGCCAGCTGATGGCTGTTCTAGCATGCAAAACTGAGTGGTATCAAAAACCAGCTGTAGGCCAGCCCCTCTCCTTAGCTCACAATGTAGGAGGAATAGTAAAACCACATCTGTAGTGCTTTTGAAAGTGCTGATACTATTGTAGTTTGACAAAAATTTGAGCAGCTGTGAAGTGGCTTTAACTTGAAGGGGCTGTTCTTCTCGGCTGTCTCAAGAATAAGAGTCCTGTCTTGCCTCGGCTCCTGTTTCATGAAGCTCTGTGCTGTGGGTTGAGCCCATGTTCTGTCTCATGGTGACTGAGAACTTCAGTTGTGTAACCTACTTGACTTACTAAGAACCCAGAAAGACCAAAGTCTGCTTTTGAACCTGCACCCCCAGATGACAACAAAATTAATTTTCTTCAGTACTAAGTCAGATTACTCGAAATGTATATTTGGAATCCTTTCTATATTTTTCGTTTGTATTGCTGTGCTACTTACTGCTGTATAGATTGATGTAACTGAAGACTGTTTAAGTAATTTTGATAGACGGAAGCTTTTTTTATAATAACTGCATTTTTTTTAATAATGTTTTTCCTTCCATACATAGGGTAAGTGGCAGTAAACTTCTGAGGAACCTTTGCATGTACTGAGCTATACACGGGAGGCTGCTGAATCTTTGAGAATGCTGGAGATGATAACTTAATCTTCCATAGTGCATCATGTTGTGAACTATAACTTCAAAGAAGCAGATGTTCGAAGTGGTAGTTGCTATAAAGTAATAAATAAGAGCATTGAACCTATTTGTGTTTCGTCTTTTTTGTTTTGTTTTTACTTTGGCTCTGAACAAAGCTGATATTGCAGCGCTTCTAAATACTTTCTTCAAATACTTATGCAGACTTCAGGACAGCTCTTGTATAGTTATGGCAAGTACTGCCTGCCCTGTTTCTGTCTCTTGAGCTCCTGTAGCCCTTTGTCTCCTTCCCCCTTCAGCTCCATGGAGCAGCCAGGAGGCCTTCTGTGCTGTGGGTTTTGGTTTGTCCTTGACATCTGCTGCAACTGTATGTAAGCTCCATTAAGCAAGGGAAGCATATTAGGGCTGTGCGAAACTTCGGTCCCTGATTCGATTCGGCCTGATTTGGTGGCCGAATCTCAATACACTCAGGAGACCCTTTAATATCTGAATTGAATTAGGAGAGATTCATTAATTCAGACGTAGGCACACTCCTGTGGGATGCTCCATCTCCCCAGCATCACAGCGTTCATGGCCGAATCGCTGATTCTCTGAATTAGCATTGAATCTTCAGGTTCGGATTCAGCTGAATTGAATCGGGGACAGTAATCTGAATCAACTAATCTAATCACTGTCCCCGATTCAGGCCGAATCCAAATCAAATATGACCTGCTTTACATACCCCTAGAACATATGAGAATAGTATAGCCTCCAGATGACCATCACCGACTCCGTGACTATGCTGCATGCTACAGAAAGGAGCAGGAGCAGCCACCTGCTCCATCTTTTTCTATATGGTATGGGAGTCTATTATAAAGATGCTCAGAGAAGCTGCTGCAGCATTCCTGAAAATATTTTGATTTGTTGGAATCTTCTGGAACATGAGCAGAAGCAGAACAGAGTAAGGAAAATGATACATTAATAAGTTGTGAAGACTTACAAGAAGCCAAAAAAAGCAGAGAGGTTTTACTAGATCATTGAAAAAACTGTCAAGAGCTATGAGCATGTTCTCAGTAAAAGGTGTAAGTGGACAGAATGGCAAAACCAAGAATTCAACAAATGTAGGTGCCTAGCTACCATCAGAGGGAGATTAGTGCAGGCAAACAGCAAGAAGGGGAACTCTCCTCAAACCATTTTTCTCTGTCTTCTAATAAGAACTTTGTAACTGCCTGTGCACCAAAACCCCTACGCCTAAAATGTCTTCAGATTATCATGATAGTGTTGAAGAAATGTTACTGCAATGATGGTCCAGGAAAAATGCCAAGAGGAAAGAATTCTTGTGGGTGATATCTTTTATTGGACCAGCTGCATAGTTGGCATAGATATAGACAAGACTGAGAAGAACAGGACATGCTGGTCTGTCTGTCCCAACTGTAGTTGACAAACAAATGAAAATTAGTGTCTTTCAACTGTTCAGCAATTCAGTGTGAGGAGGTTTTAAATAGAATGTGCAATGATCAAAAAAAATGAACCTGACCATAGGTTAGAAGTATTTATGCTTGCAAAATAACATTTCATATAATTGTTTTTTTTTTCTATACTAGCACTTATTGTTATGAAGTTTTAAGTAGGAAGTGGCTTGCAGGAAATTTTGCTGAAGTTCAGTGAAGTGGAAGATGGTGGGGTGGGTGGAAAAGTTAGTGTCCTTTTTGTGCAAGCTACTCATGAGCCACTCCCAGATGAGCATGGAAGTTTGGTTCCCAGGGACAAGTAGTGGTGGTGCATCTGGCATGCTTCTACTTGTCCCCGGGGATCACCCATGCCATGTGTGCTTTGGTGCCTGGCAAGTTATTCTGGGTTGGGTAGGGGAGGCTGGGGCCAGCACTGAGCTGGCCCCAGCAGCCTTACTTGATGGCCTCCCAGGGCTGCAGCAGTGGCAATTCTGCTGCACAAAGCCTGGCCAGCAGCCAGGATACCCAGGGGTCTAAAAAACCTGTGGGGGGAAAACAGGAGCAGTGCACATATGAGCAAGCACACTTTAGCAGCACAGTGAATAAATGTGCAGTATGTGGCGCCACAAACACATCTGTGGTGCCACATACTGCACGGCCATGCTTGTCTAGACATGGCCACGTGTGCTTTTTGTATCTGAGGGGACACTATTCACAACAAGGGTGTCATCAGCTTTGGTAACAACTCTCAAAGGAGCATTTTAGTCATTCTAATGCACAAGTGAACATCACTACAGAACCCAATATATTAATGATCACTTTAAAATGCAATCAATGAATTGGGTCAATGGGTGCATCCCCACAAGTGCACACGTGTAGCTTGCAGCTCCTCAGAGCAGTTTGAGGCACTGCACACTGCACATGCAAGTGTTTGTCATGCTGCTAATTAGCACTAGTGGTTTTTTGGGGTTTTTTTGTTGTGGTTTGGGGCTTTTTTGGACACCTGGAGATTCCAGTGTCCAAAACCACCCCCAAACCACCATTTAAAAAAAATGCAGAGCAGCACAGCACATGGCAGAAGCATGTACTGCCAGAAACCAGAGCCTGGCCAGCCAGAGCCACGCTGGCTGCCAGCCAGGCTCCAAGCAGCCACCACTGCTGTCCTGGGAGGCCCCCAGGACTCCAAGTAAGGCTGCTGGGGCTAGCATCTATGCTGGCCTCAGCCTCCCCTACTCTACCCAAGACAATTTGTCCCACACCAACCCCACATGCAAGGGGCATGCAGAGCAGCAAAAAGCAGCAGCAGAAATTTGTGCTGCTGCTATTTCTATGCCACTGCACACCCCTGCATGTGGGGTCGCATGCCAGAAGGTTATTTTGGTGACTACAGATAATTTGGTTTTGCTTTTTGCTGAAAAATGAGGATCCATATTTTATGGATGTGCTGCCCATATAATGCAGTTCTTTATTCATAATTTGAAGATTTGTGATTATTCTTATGTCAAAATGAAAAGCACTAACTTTTTCAAAAACAATCTAGTTTCAGAAGCAATATATTTCAGTGTTATTCTTTAAGCATTCCAATGCATTCTGTAGCCCTGCTATACTTAACAGATATTTTTAAAGTTTTCAAAAGCTCCGAATTTGCAAGAAGGTAGTTCAGTCAGCTGCTGCTAAAAAAAAGGGGGGTGGGGCAGGAGGGTGTAGGGGTAACTGGTGATGCCTCAGAGTAATCTGCGCTGTCATGCTTGATGTATTTCAGAGGACTTCAGCACTTGGATGTGGGCTCTGGACAGCTGCAACAGAGGGGGAGGGGTGCGTACAGACATGTAGGCACAGCCTGCAGGCAGCCAGGAATGCAGCCCAGCCGTGTGTGGAGTAGTGCCCAGCAGGCAAGTCTGTGAAGGGAAAGAGGAGTGGGAAGAGAATGGGCATAGGGAGAGGCAGATCAAGACCCCCACCGGGGGGAGGGCTCTGGAACTGGGATGGGTTGTGGGACAGAGCCATGGGCAGCTTGCCTATGAGCATGGGGGAGCTCCTGCTGCTGTGGGCACCCTGGGGGAGGCATGGGGGGCACATGCCCCCTAGATTTGTGCACAGGGCAGAGGCAGGCTGCAGCTGTAGGCTGGGGCTCTGCGCCCCACTGCCTTTGTCCTGGGAGCTGCATGTTGGCAGTACTGCATCCCCTGCCCATCCAGCAGTGGGAGGCACAGCACCACATCATGTGGCTCCCAGGGCAATGGCAGCGGGGTGCACAGCCCAACGTACAGCAGCATCCCACCTCTGCCCTGCACACACATCCAGGGGGTATATGCCCTGCATGCCTCCCCGAGAGGTGCTCACAGCAGTGGGAGTGGCCCCCTGAGCCTCTGGATGAGCTGCCCACAGCTCCATCCCGCAACCTACTGTGGCCCCAAGGCCCCATCTGCCCTTGCCCCATTCCCTTACAGTGGGGGTCTTGATCTCACGCTGCTTGCCCTCCCACACATTTACCTGCTGAGCGGTGTCTGTCTGCTCCTCCCAAGCCACAACCCCCCCTGCTCTGCTGCTGCCCCTCACTTCTGACCCACAGTACCCCACATCCTGCCAGGGTATGTGGGAACCTCCCTCCCCAGGCTCCAAACCACCCCCCATGCACCTACAGCTGCCCACACCTTCACAAATTCTCCACCCCACACACACACACCCCACATGCACCACCCAACTGTACAAAGTACCTGAATATTTTTGTGTTACTTTCGAGTTTTTAGCTGTGCAATTAAAATTGTGATTAATTGTGATTAATTTTTTTAATTGCACAACTAATTGTGATAAATTTTTTAAATTGTTTGACAGCTCCACTGTTATTTAATAACCTCCTCCTTTAAGTTTGAGCCACAGTTAAGTCCAGAACAATCAGATCAACTTTCATCTTCTTTCCTGGAAAAGGAAGCACTCTGACTTTTAAGTCTTGAGCATTTTATAGAATTAATTATATATAGGCTAATGGCTACACTAGCATATGTTTCTTGACGGTCTTGAAAGAAGACTGTCTCCTTAGACCCCTTCAGAAAACATTTCTGTTCTGAAGTTCCCAAATCCAAGTGTAATTAATAGGAAAAATGGAAAACTTCTACCATAATGTTTGAAACATTATCAGAAAGAGGAGCTGATTGTGCAAAAAAAATGGGAGACAGATCCAGAAAGTGACAACCAGACATTCCCTAATGAAAATACAAGAGTGGCTCTTAAATCCGCCCTCCTTTGCCCTATCTGAAGTTGTAATTGTTTTCTACAAGTCAGCAGAAAGAACAACTATTCAAATGATCTGTGGCAGAAACTTGGAATCCTTCCTTTTGACACTCTCTCTTCCTATTCTTTTAATGTGTCATTGCCTGAGATAGACTTTTGCCACTTGCAAAACCCATCTGGTTCAAATTCCAGTATTTCTGTAGGTAAAGTTTAAAAAGCTAATAAATTACATCAACTACCACAAGAGCAGTTGACAGATTTCTGCACAAATCCAGCCACTAAGTCCCTGCTGATAGGGGTTGTCATGAGAGTCTAAAGATGTTTAAGTGCATTTTGTTCCTTCAGATGAGGATTTTTAGATCCTTTGGTGTATATTAACAATACAGTAGATGTGAATTATTTGAAAAGAGCTACTGGAGAAGCAAAAAGCAATACCGTAAGCAACAATGATTCTCCTCAACAATTTTTTTCAAGGAGACTAAGACGTTTCAAACCTTGAACAAGAAGCAAAACAATCTTCAATGTTTTCTAGGCCAGTCTTTACATCCCAAGTTCAATACATTTCCCCAGATGTGTGATCTAATTTTAAACCTGTTTTCCTCCCACATTTTTTTTGAGATTAAATATGCCACTTCTTGGAGAACTTGACATCTGTAACAGAAGACAAATTGATTTTTAGAAATTAATCACAGTAAGTATCCAGTAGAATTCAAAACTGTTCTGTCTCCCAGTTCCCTGTCCTATCCTTCATTCAGAGACTTACAGCCTGTCAGGAGATTCTTGCCTTTCTGAAGATACAGGCTTTAGAGGAGGTGCAAAGAATTCGGAAACATTTAATTCCAAATACTTTTGAATCCCAAAGAAGGATGGAGGTCTGTGCTGCGCAGTGAACTTCTTTTATTAGATGATTTACAGTATTTACTCAAATCCAAGATGAGGTCCCCCTACTCCCAGTCAACACAGGAGGGGGAGAAGGGGAAAGCTTAGTCTTAGATTTGAGTACTAACCTTTCCTCCTTCAAGGGTATTACTGCTTGTCAATTCATCACGTGCAGCAATAAGTTCAAAGGAGACATGCAAGTTACTTATTTGTACCAAATTCATCCCTTCTTGTTTAGAATACTACTAAAACTTTACCTCTTGAGAACGTGGGAGAAGGAACCAAGGCAGCAGAGGGCACCATGTTGCCTTTAGCTGCCTTAGTATGTTCAAAAGCATGAGAAGTAGAAAGGGCTTGCAGGCATTCTAATAAGCAGCGCTTTCTGAAATACAGTGGATGTGATGATATGAGTGTGAGGATGTGAATTCCAAGGACAGTTACAAATAACCAATCTCCAGTTACTGATGTTTCCAAAGGTTTAAAAGGCAGGACCCCTTGCCTTTTCTACTGTTAATATAAGAAGGATAATACATTAAAGAATACAGAAATGGGGCATACATCTATGTATTCATATTTGCATATTTTTTTATCTTGTTTTTCCCTCTCCCAATTGCCTTTTGAGAGAGGCACTCCCCTACCAGACTGCAAGCTGGTAACATTTTTGGTTTATGGTTCAACTAAGTTGCCAGTTGCAGGGGGTACATGGGCGACTGTTGCCTCTGGAGTGTGGGGGGGGCACCAGATTGTCAATGGAGGGGGTGAGGGAGTCTCCCAGTGGCAAATCACTGGACAGGGGGGAGGGGGCACTCCCCCTGTGGCCGGTTGCCAAGCCAGTGGTGAAACCAGGAGTGCACTTCTGGTTTTGTGGCTGGTGCTTCCAGGGGGTGCATGGCTAATCTCAGGGGGCCCATGTGCACCCGTGGGCACCCCCTACGCATCGCCAATGGGGCAGGGGGTATTTGTTTTGCAACAACAGCATTAAGCAAGATTTACCTTTTTGCTGTTATACCACTTTGAATGTTAATATACATACCTTTCTTTGTTGTACATGTAGTTATGCACCAGTCATTATATTTCTGATAGAATTTTTTATAACCTGCTTTTGATTCCTCCCCCTCCCCACCATTGCAATCTGAGGATTTTCTGGTTTTACGTATGAAATGATTCATTGTCATCAAATGATGTGCGTTTATAGCGAATTAAGGCTGCGAGGGATCTTAGGAAGCCACCCAGTCCGACCTCTTTCTCAAGGCAGAATCATCCCTGACTAAATCATCCCGGTCAGGTGTTTATCTAAACTATTTGTAAAAAAGCCCAGGGATGGAGATTCCATACCCTCTCTGGCTAGCCTGTTCTAGTGCCTAAACATCCCCAGAGTAAGCAAGTTCTTCCTAATATCCAACCTCAATTTAAGACTGTTATTCCTTGTCCTGTCCTCTGTTGCCAGAGGCCTCTTTCATATATATATACTGCCTCATATGTAGGCACTGTATATTAATGAAAACTAGCTAATATAGATTAGATTGGTCTTGGCCCTAGATGGTAATGTAGAAGTGACCCATCTCAACCCTGTCAATAAGCCAAGGAAAATTTGTGCCCAATTTTGAAAAGTATAGGAACTATTTTTTTCTATGTACTCCTGGGAGCACAAAGTAGGTCAGAATGTTTTTAACATTATTTGAAAACTCTAGGTTTAACCTTGTGAATCATGTTTGTACACCTTACACTGATAACACTTAGACAACCCGCAGCATCCCTAAAAGGATTTCAAGATACCCCAGAGTACCGCAGCACCTTGGTTGAGACTTACTGATCTATATTCTAGCTTCTGCTGCTGCTATTGGAGTTGCACTGGTAACATAGCGTGGACACCCTTCTGTGCCAGTAGAGAGAGAGCGCTGTGGAGTTGTGGGTACTCCATTAGTTGTCCAAATCAACTCCCTAATGATTTTAACAAACGGTTCTTTCATGAATAGCATATAAAACAAGACATCCATTTTCAGACTGTTGTACTACAGGATGTTTATTGAGGCAGAAGAGTATATATTGTGTCTGTTACAACAGAATTACCTATATTTGGGATTTTTAATTTTATATAGAACATACGAATGGATACTCTATTTCTTAAAGAATAGACCAATTTAATTACAGTGGGTGCATCTACATGAGATGCTTTACTGTGCAGTAGAGCAAATTATTGAGTAGTGAGCATCTACATCTACACATGCAGACCCTTACTGTGCTGCAATTTGCTCTACTTGGCAGTTAATTTGTTACCTGCAAGTAGCAAATTAACTGCCAAGTAATTACTGCATAGTTATACAAGTGTAGATGGCAAATTTGCTCCCGGGCAGTAAGAGGTGGGAAACAAGGAAAATGGACTGGAGCCTGGACAGGGACAATGTCCCCCTGTCTGGGCAGCGGGGAGCTCCCAGCCCCCGCTCCGCAATCAAGAACTGCGGGCTGGGAGATCCCTGCATGAGGACAGTTCCCCACCCAGCCTGAAGCTGGCTGGGACCTGCCCCTAACCAAGACAGTTTCTAGCCAGCCCCAGGCTGAATGGGGAAGTCTACACGAGCAGCCTGCAGGTGGCTAGGGACTGGCCTGTTTTAGACAGTCTGCTCTCAAATGAGTGCACATGTAGACTCCTGCCCAGGGTGGGTATACTCTAGAGTAAATTACTCTAGAGTAAAACCATCCAGCAGCATTTGCACGTGAAGACATGCCCAGTGTGAAGGAAAAGTGCATCTCAGCCTTAGTGTAATGTAAGTAAATGCCAAGGACAGTGAAAGGTTGCCTGGCTAAACCAGTTTGACAGTAGTGATGATGGATGTTTTGCTAAGGAATGAAAGTCTAGTTCATGAATAAAGGGTCTCAAAATACAATGACCAAATCACAAACTGGAGTGGGTCATAGGAGAGACCTGTGGTAATTTAGCACAAGGTTTACCAGTAGCTGTGTATTAAGAAAAACAGCTAATTGATTCAGTCTTTGGAGCAAAAATCTTCCAGTGTAGATACCAGTATTTGTTAACCTTAGGAGGCCTGATTCATTCAATCTGTTCTCTTCCTCCTGTGATGTTGTTTACCTAAATCCGTAGGGTACTGTGAAAAAGTTGTGTGTAAATTGCTTTGCTATGAGATCCTGAGATAAGAAGTGCTTCTACGAGTGCACTGTATTATAGATTGTTCCACACTGTATTCCCCAGGTGAAAAACCCAGCCCTTGCTGTACAATTGTGTTGCATTACGATTTCACATTTTAAAAGACCACAATTCATCCTAAAACTTTAAAACACCTTTTAAACTGTTTTAGTCCTCTTTGTGGGGAAAACTGTCCTTGAATATATGAACAAGAGTGAACTGATATAGTGCTTTTTTGCTGAGTTAATTCTGTGGGATGTCAAGGACTGGGGACCCTAAAACCTTAAACATGATTTAAATGTCAGCATTTAGTCATTTCATGGCAGATTTGTTTTAGCAAAGATGTCTAGCTAATGGCATAGCTTGCTTATGGGGCCAGACTTTCCCTCCACACCTCTGATAAAGTACAATTATTTGTTGATGAAAAAAATATAGTGACATACTGAAAACATGAGAACAGTGTAAAAAAGGAATTTAATGTTACTATAGGTAATTAGAAACTACTACATATATTTTATATTTATGTAAAACAATACTAAGAATTTAAATGGATGTTCTGCAGAATTTCTGCTTTGTTTCACAGCACTCATTGAAGGTACAGCCAGCTGCTTGAGGAGCACATAGTGGCTTGATGGTATTTAGCTCAGTAGTACAGTGATGATTATGCTAACATAAAACAATATTGTCAAGTTGTAGTCTCCCTCCTTGCGCATATTTATGTATATGCACAATCTGAGGATAAACTATGGTCACAATAAGAACCATAAATCTAAATCTTCTGACTGCTAGGTGTATCAAGCTGACGCGCAACACCAATCAGTATACCCACTGCATAGGTACTTGCACAGCTAGGTATAGAGATTCTACATGTGACTGCATTTCTGCATACATCTATGCTGCAATCAGGAGACATGACAGCAGCCTAGGGAAACATATGTGAGGTAACAGTTGTGCTTGAAGGACATAGCAGCACAGGTTGTACAAGCACACCAAGGATACTCAGACAGCTGGCCTGCGGTACAGCCTGTCTTCTCTGTTGAAATACCACTCCTCCCTTTACATTGCACTTAAATAGTGTTCTTTAAGGGTTCTGGCAGGTTTTATTTTTGTAGTATGTTATGGGTGGGCACATGTGCACAGCCCCATGGCAGGAATGTAGCAAAGATATCAGAAAGGCGGCCTCCCCAGCTGGTGGAGGTGAAGAATGGGAGGGAATGGGTAGTTAGTTGCTCCTTAGCTCCCCCACACCCCAAGGCTCAGTGACCTGCTTTCCTGATCAGATGTTGCAACTGTGGCAACAGCTGACTGAAACTGAAGACTTCTGCAGCAGCTGCAGGGGCTAATCCAATGGTCTGTGGTATGGGGCTGCCTGCCAGCTGACAATTTTAATGAGCTCCTATTGCTTGAGTACCAAGAGCCCTTTCAAGCTAAAGGTGCAACTGAGGGAATGGCTTGTGTAACACTTTTTTTTAAGTCATACAAAGGATGTCATGGACGCCGGCAAGCGGGAGGTGGGGAACGAATAACTGTTTTTCGTACAGTGCACTTGGCGTAAATTTTCAAGTGCTATTTCAGATCACCTTCATCTCATACCTTTAAACATACTTGATGATTTCACTATGAACAATGCAAGAGTTGCTCGTGGTAAGTGTGAATTCAAAAGATTACCATTTGTCGCTTTGACTACACTTCTGCTTTGGCAAAGTAGATAGAGCTTTTACCTTTTGACAATGGAAAAGTTTACCTGTTCCCACATTTTTTTTGTAAAGGCTTTTTTTGTTCTTTGGCTTTTTATATTTTGAACTGTCTTTTTCAGGAAATGAGCAGGCTATAGCTGTACTTGGAGGCAGTAACTCTGAGGTCATTTGAACAGCTGATTGAGTTTTTGGTGCACATGAGGAAGACCTCTGTGAGAGCATGTGATTTGAGTTCAAAATTGTAGACACTTTAGAGCGTTTAACGGTATCACCAGATGCTCTATGCTGCTTTATGCTTTTTGAGCTGGTCCATTCAAGTGTGCAGAAAGCAGAAGGGCTGGATCTACTTTTTTCTTGATAATCTCCATTACAAACTGTCTGAGGACACACAGATTCGGATGGCCTTGGCTGCTTCAGCTGAAGCATGGGTTTTAAGGAACTGGGTCGACTGCCAACTGGAACAGGGGAAGAGACAGTCAGGTCTTTTATTCTCTCTTTTAATACAGTTAGATGCTGCATTCTTTCCATTTCCAAGAGACGAGATATTAGTTTCACCATAGAGTCTTCTGGAGGTGGATCAGAGAGAGCCTTCCAGTTATCCCATTTTGATAAGGCTAACTTTTGTAAATCCAATTTATTGAAAGGTGATGGAAGAAAATCAGGGTATGAGAATTCTTCATTTTGGCGCTTGTAGGAAGCTGCTTTAGTGTTTTCTGCAGTTTTTGGTCTTAAGTTCAGAGTCATGTTTTTAGCATAAGTTGGAAAAACATCATCTGCCTTTTCACTTTCAGATTCATTACTTTCCTTTGTCAAAAGCTTGTCCTTTGAACTACTTTTTCCTGACATCAAATTCCGCCTGGATACAAATCGTGTATCGTTACTATTACTTTCTGCAGCAGAGTAAGAGCTAGAGGCAATGGCTTCATTTCTGGCCTTGCAAAAATCCCCATCTCCATTTGTCCAGTAGATTCCTAACGCTGCCTGCTCCACTCCTGGATAAGATGCAGTTTGATATTTGTTCATATGAGCCCCCACCAATGTACAATTAAAAGTAAAGAAGTTTAAAGAAATATCTTTTGAGCCGGAGACAGTTTTCACTTCAGGTTTACTGATGTCTCTGGGAGGGAGAAAAAAGAGAGAAAAGGTAGGGTAGTTTTTCATTTGGGGAGTTATAGGAGAAAATGCACCACGTTTAGAAGTCTAATGCTACTGAAGTCCTTAGGAATTTTGACATTGCTTGCCTACCTATAGGTTGAGGATGTAGATGTTAGTCCCCCCATATTACAAGAAGAGCAACAACTGCTGTTCAATTGATATTGAAAGACTAAATTACATCATTGGCTCAATCGTACACAATATATCTGACAGTGAAATAACCCACTTATATGGGAATTTTAATGCTTTCTACAAACTAAGGATCAACTTCTGCTTGCCTAATAAGGAAAGTAGCCTTATTTTTGCAATGAAACAATCAAAATTCACCATTAAAGTATCAAAAGTGGATTTTATTTTTGCTCACTTGAGTCCTGTCCCTTCTATTCTTCTTTCCCCAACACAGACTTTAAGGCCAAACATTCAATCTATGACTTGCCTGTTTTATTGTCACTGAAACGTAATATGAATTTTATCTTATTCCAGGTTCTTTAACTTGTATATCCGAAAGGGAAGTTTAACCCTTAAATTAACAGGAGTTATAGAGTTAGATCCTTCAGGGCTGGAAACTGGCCCTAAAGGAATATTATTTTAAGTGTCTCAAGATCCTTTCCCTACGTAGGGAAGTTTTACCTATTGGTACACTATGAATGGGGGAAAAACTCTCCTCTAAGTCTATCCCAACCATGCAGTTGGTCCAATAAAAGGTATCACCCACAAAAATCCTTGCCTCTTCACCACTGTTCTTCATAGGATCCAAAGCTAGTGCATAGGTTGTTTTTCCAAATAGACTAACTGTGAAACAAATACTAGTGACAAAAATACAGTAAGATTCTCCTCAGAACTCATGGTATGCAACTGCTGATGCTTATAAGTCAACTGTTAGTTTAGTCCTGTTTCATTACATAGCACAGAAGAAAATGTAATGTCACAAACTACCTTTATAGTCAAAATATTAATCTCAGAGGAATGAGTTAAATATACAAGGTATTTAGAGTGAACTAATGATGCAACTACGGTGTAGGAAAAAGGAAGAGCCACTAAGCATATATAACACTGTCCAAGGCTCAGACTTCTAACCATTGTCCTGATATGGCAGGGGTGGGCGATTATTTTGGGCAGAGGGCTGCTTGATGACTTGACGAGCTGTTGGAGGCCACATGGGTAGCCCTGCCCCTTCAGCTGCCCCACCCCCTTGTCACCATCTTGGGACCGGATGTCCCACCCCCTGACCTTTGCCACCAGAAGCCCCGCCCCCTGACCTTTGCCACCTGATGTCCCTCCCCTTGCACAATTTACCAGGTAGCAAGGGGTTGTGACCCCTCTAACATCCTGCCCCAGCAGTGGGGTTTCAGGGGCATCAGACCTCCCCCAGAACTTTCCCCCTACCTATGCCAGCTGGTCCCAAAAGAGGAGGCTCCACCCCCGCTTCTGCTGGCCAGTGCCAACCCAGTTGGGCTTGCCCTGTCCCCAGCAGTACCTGGTAGGCTGGCTTCAGTTTCATGCTGCTCCAGATGGGACAGGCCTGGCCGGGGCTGCACTGGTCAGCAGAAGCGGCAGCGGAGCCGTGTGCCGCTCGGGTCTGACCAGTGCAGGCAGGGGGAAAGTGCAGCTGAGCCCCTGCTGCTCCGGCCAGGCTCATCCCACCCTGAGCAGCACACGGCTCTGCCACCGCTTCTGGCTGGTCCAGACCCGGCCAGGCTCCTCCAGTCCCCAGCAGCACAGGAGTAGCCGACTTCAGCTGCATGCCGCCTTTCCTGGCCGGGTCAGTCCCATCCAGAGCAACGTGGGGCTGAAGCCAGCTTCCCATGTGCTCCTGGGGATGGTGTGAGCCCAGCCAGGTTTGCACCAGCCAGCAGCAGTGCGGAGCCATGTGCTGCTTAGGACTGACCAACACAAGTAGGGGGAAAATGCAGCTGAGCCCCTGCTGCTCTGGTTGGGCTCATCCCATCTCGAGCGGCACAGCTCTGCCGCCACCTCTCCTCCCTGGTGCTGACTGGGTCGGAGCTGTGGCCCAGCTGCTGCTTCCCCTCCCCAGTGCCGGCATGGCCTGAGCAGCACAGCATAGGGAAAGCCTGCCCAGCAGCCGCTTTCCTGGGCTTACCTGCAGGGCAGGGCCCTTCCCAGTCCCATGCAGGAGGCAGAAGCTGGCCAGATACCGTTTCCCCCTCACCAGCACCACAGGTTCTGGCCCAGCCCCCGCCCCTCTCAAGCTGCAAACCTGGCCTAAGCCAGGGGTGGAGCGAGGCTAGCTGGGTCAGGCTGAGGTCAGGGTTGGCTGCCTTGCAACCAGAACCCAAGGAAACAGCCTGAGGGGCTGCAGCTTGTGGCTGGTGCCGCTGGAGGCTTTTAGAGAGGCAGCCGCCATTACCTGGGTTTTGAAGGGGCTCCGCGGGATGGAGGGAAGTGCTTGGCGGGCCGGATCTGGCCCGCAGGCTGTATTTTGCCCACCCTTGCTTTGGGATAATAAAATAAAGTTGATGTGATTCCTGCAAGTAAATGACCCACCATGAACACTGATTTCCTGCAGCTCCTTGGGGTATGTCTTAAAAATGATAATGTATTTCTGAAAGCTGTAACTCAGCTGAGAGAGAAACTGAGATTTGTTGAACCCAACAACTATGAGATAACCCTGATCTGACATTCCTTCCTCTTAACTTTTTTTGTTTTGTCCTCTGGCCACCTGGTCAGCAGTTTAGACCTATCTTTAATAGGACTGAATATCTCTGGAAAAATACAGAGTTGGATTTTAAGTTTGTAACTCAGGGTAATTTCTAGAGGTCAATAATGTGTTGTCAGTATTTTAACAAGGAGTTCCCACAATGTTCCCTTAGCATGTCATAAATCTTATACTCTGGTATGGTGTGTGCGTAGACTGGGGCCTTTGACAGACATTGCATTTATTGTGTAATGAATTGCAACATGCCACACACTTGAGCAATTCATCACATATTTAAAATAGCAAACAAGTCATAAACACGATGACCCAGCCTCAAAGATGCTTGTTAAATGTAGAACATCTTTGTGGCTGGTTTGTATTGCTCTTTATGCAATGAATGTGTGGTATGTTAAACAGTCTTGGATGGGTCTCTCAGCATCTCAGGGTTCACTGCTCTCTGCCCCCTGCGGATGAACTAGCTCATAGGCCCAGTAGTTGTGCTGGTAACCCTGACTGGTTCCAGAGTACAAACCAGGCTATCAAACAGCCTGCAGCTGCTTGCAGGGAGCACAGAGCATGACCCTGCCTCCTCACCTCTGCAGGTGAACCTTGGCTGTGCTTAAAGCCCTGACTGATGCTGAGTCTGTGACCAGCCATTCATCCCATTTCTGTGAAATGGGAATTTCCTCCCTCCTCACCTTACACAGAAGGGTGACAGCTGTGCAAGAAGTGGGGGATACCCCCCATCACTTAAGCCATCCCAGGACTGGGGATGGATCAAGCCATGGCAGCTCTCTCCCACCATTCAAGCTATTCCAGGAACCCAGGATGGGTTGAATGGCACCAGCTCTCCCCCTATCCTGTGCATACCTGTGCCAGGGAATGGGAAGGAACTGCTGTGGATTGAGCCATTCCAAGATGAGTCAAGCTGCAGAGGAATATCTCCCCTCTTCGCAAAGCTTTGGGTTACCCTGGTTCTGTGCAAGGAATTGCGGGGACAGAGACAGAGTGGGGACTGACCCTATGTATTAAATTGCATGCATCCACATAAATTTAAGATTTAAAAACTGGGAGTAGGAGTAACGAGAGGAAACCAGAGGACCTTGTTTATTCTAGACAAAATAATTAACTGGAACACTGAAATTAGTTGACTACTATTTATAACAGAAAAGAAAACGAATGTAACTTTAGGCATGTAATTTGGGACCAGCATGAAAACCATCATTCATCCCTGTTCATGCTGCAGGAGCAAGAAAGAAGAAGACAAACATGATTAATGTACAGCCTGACTGATAGTCTGACCATAACTCTTGGGAACCCTAACAGATGAATTAAAGCCTTTTCTTGTTTTTAATTGAAAACATGTGATAAATATTCTGGAAGTGACAGTGTGTGACAGGATTACTACGCACCTCAGAAGTGTGACAAATGGCAAGTAAGAACCAATGTCTGAGCAGCAGGATCTTAGCCGACTTACTTTAAGCACTTCATTAAGTAGAAGTGGGGAATGAAAAATAAGGACAGTTACACAATGCTTAAAAATTTGCCTCAAAACAAAGTTCTTTAAGGAAAAAAAGGTTTGAGTCTCTTGAAAAAACAAAGACGGATGAAAATATATTGTGTGTGCTGGCCTCAAGCAATAGGGAAAAGCAGCCTAATGGGGCCTTCTGAAGAGCTGTAGCCCCAAGCTCCTTGATTCAAATATTGAGAAAGAGATAAATTTGGAAAATATGTTACAGCATACCTATAAGCAGGAGATGAATTAAGGTAAAACCAAGGCTTTATTTTAGCTGGTAGGAGAGGCAGAGAGAGAAGTTTTAAAAGCTTCAAGACAGTAGATCAACTTTTGAGCTGTCTTACATCCAGTAGACATCACAGAAGTTAAATAAGGGTGTAAGTTGTCTCAGGAATTATCCTTAACCTACCAGGGAAATAAAACCTCATCATGAATCAGTGATTTTCCAATAGCATGTCCTGCAGTGTGGAGAGACTGCGGAGCAGCTGATGAGGGCTGTACTTGTTTCCAGGCTATTAAACTTCATTAAAGCCACATTCGGTACCTTCCTAACATTACTTTTCCACTGGAACAAATGCAGCAGCTACTAAAAGGGGATCAAAAGTGTCAATAAAACTATTACCATGTAACCTATACAGTGAAAATATCTGAAAAGCCCTGATAATGTTTATCATCAGGTATCTTCTACTAGGTGACTGAGAAGCCCTCACAGTATCTTTCTCAGGATCCTTGCCCTAGGGCTTTCCAAAAAGTATGGAAAGATTAGGGGTTTAAAGGATTTATTAAATGA